GACCGTCCCATACGGGTCCCGAGCCTACCTCTTTTACAAACGCTTCTCTCTCCGTCTTCCAACAGTCGTTGGGGTTTGAGACTACCGATACCCCGTTCCACACGGGCGCTGTACGTCCTTCATGCTCAAACGGCAGTATTTCTTCAGTTCTCGTCATATGTTCATTGCTTACGTTCGTTTCATTTCTTTCCGGTAAGGCGGAACTCATCCCACCTCCAACAGGATACACTTCATACCTCTTGGTCGACTCCTCCGCGGAGCTCAAAGTGTTCCCATTTGTGTCGATCCATAGACAAGAGGAAGGAGCGACACTCCCTTCCCCTCCCTCTCGCCCCCATCATTGCTGGCTGGGCGCTTGCCCTAGGACAGGTCCCACCGTTGCCCCTGTCGGACCGCCAAGTCTCTTCAGTGACGTCTTTAGAGGGCACTCCGCCAACATGTGACCCGATTCATCACACAGGAAGCACTTGCGTCCGTTCCTCGGCTGGGTGTTCTGGAATCCGCTAGGAGGGTCACGCTCACATTCAGGACCGATGTGACCCACTTCCTTACAGTGAGGACAGGTGGCTTTGCCGCGGCGACAGTGAATACGACTACACCCCAGAGTGTGACACCGACCGCACACGAGAAGACCATCTTGGGTTCGCAAGTCCGGACCCACACGAACGCCCCTGATAGGCGTAATAGGAAGCGTTCCGATAGGCTGATAGTGCAGAGAGGGGTTCGGATCAGGAGGAGAGTAGGCAGCAGCTACATTCATCGCTGGGGAAGCATAGGCGGTCGTTAGAGGACGCTCCATCAACTGCTGTTGCTGTTGAAGTTGTTGCTGTTGCTGCTGAGCGAGTAGATTCTGCGTCTGCTGCATCATGTTCATCATGCGTTCGAGGACAGCGTTCTCTTGGGAAGTTTTAGGGGACGGCACATTGTCGAACTCGGAGTCGTCTTCAACCGGACGGTGCATATTCTTAAGGAGCAGCATGGCCACAGCCGCAGGGATGGAGTCAATCATTGTCGTGGTGAGGGCGTTCCTCCAATCTCGGTTCCGGAGTCCAGACAAGAAGTACTGGTAACGCATCTGAGTGTCGTAGCACTGAGCATCATCGCAGAGACTTGAAATCATGTCGCCCCACACTTCGACGGACATTCCCCGGGGTCTTTTAGTGTTCTTCAGATTCTCAATCAGTTGCAAAGGGGTCTGACTGATGAACTGGTTATGGAACCGAGTTCTCAGAGCCTCAAAGCTGTTGATGCGCGAGTACATCCACCAATCTTTGCCGACCTTGCCTTTCAAGCACTCCCTGAAAGCGCTGAGACGCAGGGGTTCGTCCAGCCCTATCGTGGCGTTCTCGAAGGCCTCCCAGAAGGATCTAGCTTTCTCCACCGACGCTCCTTCCGATTAAAGGGTTGGAGCATGCGAATTGCGTTTCGGATGTTAGTGGGCATACCATACTGGCCACTAGTAGTCGAAGGCGTATTACCATACGTAGGCGAGGAGAAATAGGAGTTACCTCCATATTCCTCATACTCAGGACCCTGGTGGGTTCCGGCAGAAGCCATAGTTCCTCCGTTTCCTTGTGAAGCTCGGGTTGTTCTCGTAGGGTCGACTCCGTACGCAACTCCACTGGTAATCGAAGTTCGAGACCCCAGGCCTTGGGTAGGAATTTGAACGGTATGCGACGAGACCTGGAAAGGAACCCTCTGAGGAACGGGGACGGTCACCGCTGGAGCGTTCTCCCCGCCTCCTCGCAAGATACCGGAGGGCTGGAGACCCCAAGGAGGAGCGTTAGAGGTCCTCGGAGGAATACTTGCCGGGGAAGCACGTCCACCGTTTTCAGGGACAGTTGGTAGGGAGAAGAACGGGTTGAAGTCCTGCCCATATGACGTATTTGGGGTTCGTATTGTGAAACCTTGGTACGACGGGATTGCAGTCCTTACTCGAGTCGTAGGAGGGGGAGTCCCCACAAGACCGTTTCCACCAGTTCTCTCCATAGCGGCGGCGATTTCAGGAAGGGCCATTGATTTTAACCAGTTGAGGGAGTTAAGCCAGCCTTGCACCGTACCTCGGCCGCCTCCGCCGTTCAGGGTCAGCATCGAGTCCAACTCTTCCGAAGTGAAGGTCGCAGGGACCCCGGAGCCCAAAGCGTCCGCGGGTGGCTCGACACCAGCACTAGAGTTGTTCCCCCCAAGTCGGTTAGCCGCTTGGTCTATGATATTCTGCACGTTTTGGAGGCCTTGCGTAGTCGACAGACTGGGTCGCATTCTCGAAGGCAGACTCTCGGTCGGGCCTTCTTCTTCCCGGACAGTGGCGCTCTCATCTTCTCTGTTGCTAGTAGCCGACATCTTGTCCTTCCTTCTGACGTTCTCCGCGAGACTTCACTTGGAGCAAGACCTTCTCCAGCTAGCAGACTACCCTGCTTCTCCACCAGATGTCGTATACCTCCTCTTCCTTCAAGGGTCGGGTAGTCCGCGGCTGTTCAGGGAGTACGGTCTTGTTCAGTGGCTGCAGGAACGGTAGATAGGAACACTAGAGAGTTGAAAAATAAAAGTTTGTTGATTGGCTTGGCTTCCTCTTGAGTAGAAGGAGGGAATATATAAGACTGAGAGCTAACCGGAAGAGAGGCCTAACACCTTCTCGACCTTACATACACTACACTACATAAAAAAAAGGAAGGATTCACTTCGTTTGTTGTCGGCCTTCGTGGGACAACGGAGAGCCTCTGGGAAAGGGCTTGATGTCGCGAGGTGCTTTTGGTCCCCGACGCCAAGACTCCGGCGTTCAGGGGTCCCCTTATAAGACCACCCTAACGGGCTCGGTCAAGGGTACGTGCGAGGTTGAGTTCAACGGGAACCACCCTGGGGCGAGGAGTGATTCCAGGGTCTCGGGTCATCCCGACGGGAGGCAGAGCTCCTGGAATGACCCCTCCGTTCCCGGGTACGGGACACTCTGCATTACCTCAATAGTACGAGATCAGAGGAGTCGTATAATACGGACGCGCGAGCAGCGATATCCGAGCCAAGATAAGCTCTACTGGGCAGATCGGATATGAGCTGCACTGGTGGGTGTTCACTCGACCTACTATCTACCGTACTTTGTTCAACAATGTACAAGTAAAATGCTAGCTCACCTATTGCAACACCCAAGCAACGATAGAGTTTTGTATTACAGCAACGATCGATTCCGAATGTCGACTTGAACGGTCATGGATGTTTGTACATGTATTCTGAGCTTTGTGAGCTTAAACGTTTTTGGAAGGCGTGCCAAAAACGGCCATCATCGTAATGCTTGGTGATAATGCTGCTTAATAGCACCCTCTAGTAACTCAGGCGAAACGCTAGAATGGTGAGCAACAGAAATGCATCGGAGCCAGTTACGACTTCATAGAAGTAATGCTGTCGAGTCTGTTCGGCTTCGCGTTTTCGCATAAAAGTCAAGCGGGATGGCGTAGCTACCAGTGACAGAAATCGTAGTACGCCTTTAGTGGGTAAGGGAGCCAGATTTCTAGTGTTACGTGATCCTATGACTTGTGGACATCCCACTTGTTTATTTCGTATAAATAACCCCCACCAATGGGTACACTCGTATAAATATCTGGTGGACATTCTAACATAATTAGTGGTGTTACACCGACCACCGTGAAAACGTGGTTTATTATTTGTCTGTTCCACAAGTAAACGATCGCTCAGCTTCGGGATTTCGAATCTTTAACAAAACAAAACTCAGCATTCAGTCTTTTCATTGGTTATTTACCTATTATTTTTTTACATTAGTTTTATTTTTTTTTTAGAAACATTTGTTATGTTTAGTAAAGTTTTTACATCATATTATCATTTAATAAATAATTCTTTTTTTAATCAAGAAGTAAATACTTTATTTTTTTTTAGAGATAGTATGAAAGGGACTTCTTGAAATATTTGTTGACGTAAAACCTTTTTTAAAAAATTTTATTAATCAATGAGATACTATTACAAATATTGAAAGCTGATTTCAAATTTTACTCCAGTTATTAGACATCCAACTGGTAGCGCTTGGAGAATGGTCCTGGAGACTCGATAGTTGCTATCACTAAAGGCACGTATACAATCACCGAGGGCATGCTTTGTTTCGCATTTCCACACCTGACCGATGGCACTGAAGACGATATGTGGCTTGCATCCAGATTATTTGGTCAAAGACTCGTCACGACTGGCTGTACAAAAGTTATTTGGGATGAAGAAGCGGGGCGCGTGGTCAGCATTCAGTATACAGCGGATATCCTCTCGACGATGCTGCAGCTATTGGGAAATGTAGAGGACGTGTCCCGCTTGTTTTCTAGTGCACGGTTGGATCCGGAGAGTAGATTCGTACTATCCTGAACGAAGTCGTTGATGAGCTTACGTACGTACATGTAGTTCTAGCTTTTTCTTTGTAATAAGCGGTCAAGTAGCACTTACAATTACTAAAGTAATATTCAAACTAATTGTACTGAACTACGTAGTTCGAAATATATGCAGAGCCTCATCATTCAGTTGAGCCGATCTCTTTGTTAACATTTCTAACTAGCAAATTATGACCAATTACAAATTGTAGTTAGAATTTACTGCTAGTATAGTACACGTGTACGACACCATTCCCGAAGTCCGCTGAGAAACACACTGTGGAACGTTGGGCGAAGTTTTCGCGACGGATACGAAGGCACCAGTGAACACCTCGTCGTGTTGGTTGTGCTAGTGTTGGCATTGAAGCACTGCTTCGGGCCATCCTATTATTACATCGGAGTGGAGGCTCGTGCGTCTCGAAACCAGAGATCGTGGTATGCTGCTCGCTTGCCGTAAGCAGCATAGCGCGAAGCAGCTATTGCACCAATAAGTCACTATCACTTCAGCAGAGGCAGCTACTGTCTCACACGTCACAGATTATGTCTATTACGACCGTTGATAGGTCAAATATAATGCTGTTTTTTTTCATCCAATCTCAATTGTTTGTGTTTCTTCGTGTTGAATACTAAAATCAAGATCTCCCGATGGGGTGGAAGGCCGTGGAATCAGAAGAGTACGAGAGTTCGGCGCCCGCCGTGCAGGCGCATTTCCACGCCGTGCGCGCCGAAGAAGCTTTGCGCCGTGATGACGTGTGTATTGATACGCGTCTCCTCTACAATTTGCACCAAGTTTTATTACAAATAACGTCCTATTCTTTTTACTATCATTAATTATTCGAACCAGTACGTTCAAGCCGAGAAGGAAGGTCATTTGGCTAGCGAGAAGTTCCTTCAAGCAGCGCAGCGGGTATCGGACAAGCGCACGATCGATGCGCTGGTGCTTTTGGCTGAAAACTACGAGTACAGGTCCAAGGTGGCTCGCACCAGGAACCCCAGGCCGGTTGAGGCGGAGGAAGAGAAGGTTAGGGTGGACGGTGGACGTCATAGGGCGGACGAAAGAGAACGATCTGCAGAGCAACCGGAGATACGAACAGAGACTCCAGATCCGGAGGGAGCGCAGAAGACGGAGACGCAACTGAATGTGGCGGCGGCAGAGATGGAGGAACTGTGGAGACGGTTGAACGAGATCGGACTGTCGAGTCCCGGCTCGGCTGACAAGGTGGGCGGTTGAGAAGAAAGAGGAGGACAGAGAGTAAAGCTGACGTTGCTGTGACGCAGAATTTGTTGATGTCATCACGACATTTGTCTTCGTCATTAGGGGATTCGTTCTGTTTACTGCCAGCAAAGACGAGGTGTGTGGTGGAGTTGGAGGCGAATGCTGAGGTTGGTGCTGATGGATGTGGGTCTGTGTGGTGCTAGGACAACAATTGGGGTAGTGGCGACTGCAGTGGACGGAGGGTCGACGCTTAGAGCTGCGGTGGCGTCCCGGATGAGGAACCAAAGACAGCGGTACGGTGAATGATGAGGTTTTCGGAGTCCTTCTCTTGTCTGAAGACATTTGATGGACTATTCAGGTTGATGGAGCAGCAACTTGGCGGTAGATTAGATCCACGAAGATCAGGTGGCACGTCGACGAATGGAAATGGCTCGGCTACTTCTCGGTATCAGGATGGACGGGGCTCTTCGGGCGATGGAGATGATTCTGGTGGCCAGGGAGATTTTGTGGGGTTGCAGGAGACTGTTGCGCACCAGAAGATGGAGATCGTCCGATTACTAAACACCGTGAAGACGCTCAGCAGCGAGAACACCAAGCTGGTGAAGGTATGTGGGCTAGCTATGCTAAAATGTTCCTTGCAAAGTTGTGTGACCGTGTGTGGATGCGATGATAAACCTGGTAGAAATGCGAGGCGTTGACAAACATACAGGCTGAGAACCGCGAGATTCGCGACTCCATGGATCTCTTCAAGAAGGACTACAACCAGAAGGTGAGCAGAGAACGTAGTCCTAGAAAAAGTTATTTGCTCTGACGCTATGCAATCTTTTCTCTCAGCTTGTTATGATCAAAAGAGCGCTTGAAGAATGGCGACGGCAGCGAAATAATGGCACTCTTCCATCTCCTCAACCAAGCACTACGACAGGGTGAGATAGATTGGCAGAGCTTTTGATCCTACTTCAGCTGCTGATACTGCTGCTCGAAATTGCTATTGTCAGAGGAAATTCGGCGCTAGAAAGCAAACTCAAGATGCAAGAAGAGCAGATAGCCAAGCTGATGGAAGAGGCGCGACTTAAGGTGTGAACTCGCAACATATACGTCGATAATGAGGCTGAAGGAATGACCCCTCGATATTGTGGTGCAGGACGATCGCATTGCCAAGTACGACAAGTGGTACAAGACGTTGAAAGCAGGCGCGAAAGCGAAACAGCTCAGTCAAAGTCGCGACGGTGGAAATGTCGCCAGCAGCTTCAGCTCAAGTAGCTTCGTGCCGAACGGAGGTGGCCCCAGTAACTCCTTCACCAACAGCAGCAGCTTCCACGCCTACAGTCCAGGGTCAGAGGAGTCCACAGGCAGCAGCGCAACCTCCTCATCACGGCAATTCAGTCGTCCTCCTGCTCATCCAAATCGTCGAGCGCTGTGAGTTTTGTAAGCATTCAAAGGAAAATTGTTGAAGAACAGTTTATTGCTTTATGAAAAGCTGCTCTGCATCCGAGCGTTGCTACACACCCAGCTGCACCTTTGAACGATTTCCCAAAGAATCAAGAGGATCAACTGCCCATCGCGCACCTAAAAGCAATCGAGATGACGTCCGCCTCGCTCGTGTCCGAGCCAAGCAGCGGGGAAGGGCCTCTCATCTCTCTCACTCAACTTTTGCTGATGATTCCTAACCAAATTCTACTATTGAAGTCAGCAAAGAGCACCTGATAGTGCTCCTTGAACGGGAACAACCTGTTGGGCTGTCCTCTTGTCTCCTTGTGGTTGTCGTTTGTCGGTTGTAGGCTGGTGAAGATAGGCGATAAGACGCGTCGCAGCGAGCACTCGAGCTTAGAAGCCGAAGAGACCGCTGAGCGGCATCTCTGCCTGCTCCCGTGCGAACGTCTCAAAGTACTGGTAGATGATGGTAACAGCCAGCAAGATACCGGTACCGGAACCGATAGCACCCAGCAGATCAGCAACCATAGACAGCGCACCAATGCACATGCCACCGAAAGCAGCAGCCGTGGGGATGTAGCGGTTGAGCACGTGCACGATGGACGAGTCACGGTGGCCCTTCATCACCATCTGCTGGTCACGGAGCTGCTTGGCCACGTCACGAGCCGAAGAGCCCGAAATCTCGATCCACGTCTTGGAGAAGAGCGCGCACGAGCCGAGAATGAAGATGACGTAGATGACGAAGCGGATGGGGTCGTACATGATCTGAGCCAGGTTGCTGGGGGCCGACATGTAGTACGCGGCTCCGCCCACAGGCACAGTCTGACCGGCACTGCCTTCCACGTCCTGCCACACACCGAGGAGACGCACGAGGAAGTTGCCACTGAACTTCTTGTACAGTAGCTGCGAGATGAAGTACAAGTTGGACACCAGAGCCGTCTGCAGGATGATGGGCATGTTGGACGTGTAGAAGAGCTTGATCGGGTACGTGCCCTGCTGGCCACGCAGCTTCTGGTACTTGACGGGGAGGTCCACACGGAAGCCCTGGAAGTAGATGACTACGACGAAGACGAACATGGTAGCCAACAGGTTTGTGACGTTCGGCAGGTTCTGACGGTAGAAGGCTTCCTTCAGAGCACGCAGCTTGTCCGAGCGAGTGATCAGCAGGTGGAACAGAGCGATGATGGCGCCCTCGAACTCAGTGCCGCGTCCAGTGTTGATCGTCGTGGGGGAGAAGGCCTTCCACACGATGTTCTCACAGATGTTGGTAGCGATGAAGAGCGAGATACCCGAACCAAGACCGTAGCCCTTCTGCAGCATCTCGTCCAGGATGATGACGAGCACACCAGCGCAGAGCAGCTGCACGATGATCAGGATAGCGTTGAAGGCGCCAATGTCCGAGATGTTGCCGTACATGCCAGACACCACGTAAGCCACGGCTTCGCCAAGCGTGATGAGGATACCGAACAGCTTCTGCGCGCCGCTGAACAGCGCACGGTCTTCCTTCAGCGACTGGTCCACTTCGATCATCTTGGAGCCGGCCAGCAGCTGCATGACGAGACCCGAAGTCACGATGGGACTGATACCCAGCTCCATGAGCGTACCGCGGTTGGAGGCCAGGATCACACGCATCCAGTAGAGCGGGTCCGACGACTTGGACGTCTGGATGCCGTAGAGCGGGATCTGACAGCACACGAGGAAGATGAAGAGCGTGATGATCGTCCACAGAACTTTTTCGCGGAACGGGATCTTGCGGTCGGGCTGTGCCACTTCGGGCAGCACGCACATGACGGGCCGGATCAGGTGCAGGAAGCGCATCGTGACTCCAAGCTCCTTCTTGACTCTTTTGAAACTCTTTGGGGAATGAGCGGGATCTTGCTGACCGCCCAAGGCTGAGGAGAGCGCGACACGTATCTCCCCCCCCTCGAAGGCTGATACAAATGTCAAGGTAAAAGGGAGACCTTACAGTTGTCAAGATAAAAATATGATCTCACAGATTTTGGAAAACGACCACTGAGAGCTGATTTAGCAGGTAAATTGAAATGTACAGGTAAATCTCGGCGTGGCATCGTGTCTCTTCATGCGCAATCGAACGAAGGGGACGAGCGCGTAGTACGCCCAAAGTCGCTGTCTAGAAGTCGGCGTTGAACTCGTCGCTCTCCTCTTCGACAGCAGTCGATCTCCCAGTCGTCCTGGCAGTCGGAGATGTTTTGGACGCTTGATGCGATCGGCTCAGTGCCGAAGACCCGGAGGCGAACGTGGGCTTCGTGCCGATGAGGTTTTGCAGATCCACCTCCTCTTCTTCCTCGAACTCCGAGTAGTCGTTCATCTTGCCGCCGCGCATCAACTGCGACGTGTAAACAGACCGTGAGATCGACTGACTCTGCTGAAATTAGCTGATGGCAACGCACCTTTTGAGAAAGCTTCATGGGCCTGGAACTCATGGACATGAGCACGTCGGAAGACCCGCTTGATCGGTCCTTGAAGCTGCACACGATGACATACATGTACTCAATGTGATACAGAGCCGTCTGACTGTAACAGGACAGTGCGAAACAAACCTTGACGATGCGATTCCGAACACCTTGGGCTTCGGTGGACTTTGTCGCTGCAGGAACGCCGTTTGCAGCAGCTGTGGGGTCCCGATCCTGCCCTCGGGTTCGGCAGGCTCGGCAAGTTTCGCAGTTTCTGGACTAGATGTGTGCTGTTCTTGCCAATGTGAAGACGACGGCTTCGAGGAGCCAAAGGTCTCTTTACGAGGAATTGACGTCTTGCTGTCACCGCCTCCACAAACTGTGACGATGAACTCACGGAGCTGCGATGCGGATAGTTAGAAACCGGTCAATAAGATAAGATATCGAAAGTCCTCACGGTACCTTTCGCTGTGATCGCTGGTTGTCAGGGTCGTGGGCGAGGAAAGCTGCTACGAACAACTCGACAAGGGTACCTGTAGGTACTGCGCTTAGCTGCGCGAGTTGCTTCAGGTGACCCGACAGCGCTTTCCACGAGTCTTCACGGAGAAGGAAAAGCCACGAGATTCGTTAGGATTTGGAGAATGAGGCCATTTGGGGAAATGATGCTCACCGAGTTGCTTCTCCTTGTTGCTCTGGTGAAGTTTGCGGATCTTTTGGTCGTTCATGATCCCTTCGAACGCTTTCGGTGGGAAGAGTACTGCGATACCACAAGTATAAGCACTCTTTGTGGTAAAGTAGACAGCGTATCATAGCCTCAGGAGTGCACTTGCCTGGTCCAAGGTCCCGCGAGATGTCTAGAATGAGCTCAAAGCAGATATCGGAGCCGAAAAACGCAATCTGCGCTTTGCGTCCTCCGACCGCCATCCTGACACGCAGCAAATCCTTGTTAGCTGATGGATCAAAGGCCCTAGAGCGCCACACGTTACTTACTTCAGCAGCTCCCGCTTCGACTCGTATGATGATCCTGTATCGGTAGATGCGCCCAATTTGTCTCCTTCGTTAGCACCTTCCTCTACCCGGCATATCAAAGCTCCAAGGGCCTTCACTCGGTCCACCGGTGCCAGCTTTTCAGTAAGTGACGCAGGTTTCACCTACAGCACGACAATTGTCAATAGGGGCCGCGATTGCCAAAATCAGTTTGATCAAAAACATACCTCTTCTAGAGCTGGAGTTGACGGCTCGGGTGGACTCACGAGGTCTTCAACCGAGGCCACGTCAGTACCGGTATTGACGTTGGGAGCCACAGATTCATCGTTGCTCGGAGCGATCGGCTTGGTATCTGCAGTTGTTGATTTCGTGCTGTTCGCCGACATATCGAAGTCGTCACTTTGCATGCTGGTTAGCACCATGTCATCTTCCGAGTGCTGCGCATTGCGCGGCGTTGAGGCCGCGGAAAAGGACTCCAGCAGGTCCAATCTGTACGAGATCGGCGGTGGTAGACCTCCAGACACCCCGGCCACTGCCTTCACGCTGGGTTTTTCTATTTTCTCTACTGCAACTTCAGCAGCATCCACTGCAGACGTCTCCGTCACCGGTAAGGTCGCTTTTATCGTCGTGTGACCGAGTGGGGCTGCGTCGTGGAATGAGTCGCTCTTGCTCGCACTGTCCTGGTTAAGAGCCTGTTCGGCCTCCTGATCGTCAAAAGAGTCTGTCTTCTGTAGTTGGTTGGTGTCGCTATCTTCCGCTGAAATTTCTGTCGTCTCGAGCCATTCTCCAGAAGCTGCGATAGCGGGTGTGCTGGTGTTGTCGGGTAGGCTTGGAGTACTGACAGTGTCTACGCTCAGCGATAAATCATCCACTGGAGGCTTTACTTCCGACAGAGCAGCTTCGTTTTCTGTCTTATTACGAAGCTGATCGCTCGATCCATGCAATGCCACCTCAACTGGATCCATGGTAGCTCTTGCAGTGGTGAACGAGTTTGTCAAATGTGAATCAGTGGGCAATGGGATGCTAATCGCTGGAGGCCTTTGGCTTTTGGCTTCTGGGATTAAAACCTTCGGAGCTCGTACATGATCTTGACGCCCAATCGGTCGATTTGTATCCGCACGGGCAGACCACGTGTCATCGACGAGATGTACATTTGTGACGGGTGTGGCTGGAGAGCTTGTTCCTCGGCTTTCTTCACTCTTAATTGGAAGAGAATGTACTGGTGGTTCGTCCGCAGCTGTCGTCACGGGCATCGTTGCAACACCAGAGCCATAGCGCCCAAGTATGTCTCTGACCTCGTAGTCTCGAATAGCTATTCTGTCTGGCGCCATTGAAATCGCTCGACTGGAAAAGATCGGCTCGTTTACCTCGGGAATGGGGTACAATTTACCGGTTATCATGGAGGACAAGTCTTCCACGGACTGGACGGATACTTGTTCATGGTTAGTGCTGCGATCAAGAGTGCTGGGTGGAGCTGGGCTTTGCTGACTCTTTCGCGAAATCTCTGGGTACGATGTTGTCAGCGAGAAAGTGTGTCCAGCTGCAGCCCAAGATGGGGCATTGTGTACACCTGCCGCTGGTTGGTTCCTGTAGCTACTTTGCTGAAAACTGGCGTCATCGTTTCCAGCGTACGAGTTTGGATCGTATTTACCGGTCGTTGTGGAGCTGAAAGGTGCCAGTCTCTCGCGTCGAGTCTCATCGACAAAGGCGTCTTCGAAGTATTCATCACCCGAATACTCTTCGTTTTGACCTTGCTGGCTGACTTCAGCATAGTATCCCCGTGTAGGTGTGTCCATTCGTGTCGGAATTTCAACTCGAATCTGTCGCACAGGCTTCTCTTCTGCGTAAAGTTGGTCCTCCGCAAATGCTAATGAGCTGGAAAGAGCGGTAGAACTCTAGTGAGTGACGTGGTGGTGCAGTGCTGTGTCTGAAGCAAAGTGCAAACCTGTTGCCTTCTCGCAGAGCTCGCAGCGTATGACGTGGCGAAAATGTTTCGGATAACTTGTCTGCATCACGTTAGACTGTGTTAGGTGCTTCCATGTCTCCCGCTTATGTGATGGTTCGTACCTGCAAGTTCTTCGTCCAGCTCAGGCCTCGCTTCGAAGTGCTTTGCCGCTTGCTGCTGAAGAACACTTCTCGCTTCTAAAGCCACGTCGCGAATACTCTGATCAACCTCCTTGGCTGCAGCGATGGCTGATTGTTAGCCGGCTTTGGCAACCAAACCACATAATTTTCCAGCTTTACCTTGGTTGGTGCTCTGTGTGCGCAATAAATCTCTCTCGTATAGCTCGTTCTGCTCCAGACTCTCCGCCATTTCCACTTCGTGACGCTGCAACCAATCCAACCTTAGACTCCAAGACGAAGCAACAATGTATTGCTACTAACGCACCGTCTTCCGAATCAAATCGTCCAGTGTTTGTTCCTTCTCAAAGCTCTGTCACACCAGCAGCACCGTAAGTGACCGTCAGTGACACAAGCTATAGGCTCTCGACCTTCTTGGCAAGATATCTGCGTCTCTCCACCGCTCTCTTCTTGTCCTCGAGCTCCCTCAGCCTCTGCACGCGCTGTCGCTGCAGCTGCTCCTGCCATGCGGGATATATCTGCTCCACTCGGCGGTTGTATCGTGCTTTCTCCTGAGCCAGGAGCGCGCTTCTACTCGACTGGTCGCTGTGTAATCTGCTCCAAGTGTCGTGCACTTGTTTCTGCGCCTCATGCAACGAGCGTACAAATTCATCGTTGCGCTTCCTAGCGGCGATCGCGGCATTCCGCTGCGCTTTCCATTTCTGCTTACAGCTCTGGAGCGCAACGGCGCTGAACTCGGCTGCAGTCGCCTCACGCAGCGCCAGTCGCTTCTCGATCGCCTGCCGCTGAGCCGTCCTGGCGTCAACAGACAAAGTCAGTCAGGTACATACAACACGACAAGGATGGCGTACAGCTCTTCGCGTTTGCGCTGCAGAATCTCCATGCGCGCAGCATATTCCGCCGACATATCCACGTCCGCCGCACTTCAACTTTTCAAAGGTTGATTGTTTGTAATTAGCTAGAATTTAGTGACTATATTAAGTAGAGCCGCTCAACATCATGGGCATATTGTAGAGAAAATAAAACTAAATCTAGCATATTGGGAAATAAATAAAACAGAGATGGCTGCATTTTGTAGTTTTTCAGTTTTGTTCAAATTGCGCGCGCACTCGGTCATCACGCCGCCAGAGGAGCGAAGCCAAGTCGCCCCAAGGTTCACGTCGCTATGCACATCGAGGAGATCATCCTGGATGGCTTCAAGTCGTACGCGACGCGCACAGTCGTGAGCGGCTTCGACCCTCGCTTCAACGCCATCACGGGACTCAACGGCAGTGGCAAGTCGAACGTGCTTGACGCCATCTGCTTCGTGCTGGGCATCACCAACCTGTCCCAAGTGCGCGCCAACAACCTGCAGGAGCTCGTGTACAAGCAGGGTCAAGCAGGTGTGACCAAGGCCAGTGTCACTATCGTGTTCAACAACCAGGATGCCAAGGCCTCGCCCGTGGGCTACGAGCAGTATGAGCAGATCTCTGTGGCCCGTCAGGTCGTGATTGGCGGAAGGAACAAATACCTGATCAACGGCCACACGGCCCAAGTGAGCCAAGTGCAGAACCTCTTCCACTCTGTGCAACTTAACGTCAACAACCCGCATTTCCTCATCATGCAAGGTCGCATCACCAAGGTGCTCAACATGAAGCCGCCCGAGATCCTCGGTATGATCGAGGAAGCAGCTGGCACGAGGATGTACGAGAATAAGAAGCTGGCAGCACTGAAGACGATGACCAAGAAGGAGAAGAAGGTGGACGAGATCAACAGCATTCTAGCCAATGAGATCACGCCCACACTCGAGAAACTCCGAGCCGAGAAGACGCACTACTTGAAGTGGGCAGCCAACAATACCGAGATGGAGAGACTGCAGAGATTCTGTGTGGCCCACGACTACCAGAAGGCTCAAGGCGCGCTGACCAACACGGCGCAACACGTCGAGAAGATGCAGCAGGCCCAACGAGCGGCGAAAGAGCAGGAAGCGCAGATTGAACAGGAGATTGACCAGGTTGAGGATGAGATTGAAGCATTACAGGAACAAAGAGAGAAGGAGATGGGCAAGGAGTTCCAGCAGCTTAAGGACAACGTGGAGAAGATCGGCAAGGAGGTGGTCAAATTCACGACCAAATTGAAGCATTGCAAGGCTTCTATTGACCAGCAGGTGAACGCAGAAGCAGGGATGAACGAGCAGCAGGCAGAGACGGAACAAGCGATGGCCAAGCTCGCAAAGGAGATCGAAAAGGCCAAGAAGAAGGTGAATCAGGTCGAGGAGACGCACAATGCCAAGGAAACGGAGGCTAACGACTACCAACGTCAAATTCAAGCGCTGAATGCTGGTATGGAGCAGAGTGGAGACAGCGACGAGTCGCTGTCGGAGCGTCTTGCGTCCAAGCAGCGTGAACTGCAGGAGAACAACACTGCGATCAAGCAGATCCAGATGAAGCTGAAGCACATGGAGGAGAGCATCAAGCACAAGCGTCGAGAGATCGAGCAGACGCGCATGAACAACCGCAGTATGGACGAGGAGCGTAAGCACAAGGTCAGCGAGCTGGAGCACATGCAACGCAAGGTGGACCACCTCACCAGTAGCTTCAACCCAGACGAGGAGCGTAAACTCAATGACCGCGTCCGCGGACTGCAAGATCAGATGATGCGAGCTGAGAGAGAAGTGGATGAGATCTCGTCGGGGCTGTCGTCTCGACTGGATTTCAAATACACGGATCCTTACCGCAATTTCAACCGAGAGAGCGTGATGGGTGTGCTGGTAAATCTGCTGGAGACGAAGCACGAGTGGTCTGCTCTTGCTCTCGAGATTGCAGCAGGTGGGAAGCTGTACCAGATTGTGGTGGACAACGAGAAGACTGCGAAGGACGTTCTCAAATTCGGACGTCTCATGAACCGCGTTACCATCATTCCACTCAACCGCATTTCGCGCAAGACGGTGGATCGTCGCAAGATGGACAAGGCTCGACAGGTGGCCCAGCAGCAAGGTGGAGAAGTGTGGGAAGCGATGGAATTGATCCACTTCAAACCGGACCTTCTGCCAGCGATGCAGTACGCGTTCGGCTCTTCGATTATCTGTGAGACGAGCGAGCTAGCCAAGAATGTCACGTTCCACAGAGATATCAAGGTCAGGACGGTGACTCTCGATGGGGATTCGTATGACCCAGCGGGTACTCTTCAAGGAGGTTCTGCGCCGTCCAGCGGTACTCCCATCCTTTTGAAGCTCCATCAACTGATCAACCGCACACGCGAGCTCAGTGACATGCGCCGTGAGTACCAGAATGCATCTCGAGCCCTGGATGACATGAAGCAGGTATGGATAGACGGATCAGCTCTTGTGTTTCTTTAACTAACTACCTTGATGTGGTCGTGTGCATAGGATTCTGGCCACTTCCGACAGCTGAAGCACCAGATTGAGCTGAAGGAACACGAGCTGCGCTTGCTTGATGAACGTATCGCTGCCAGCGTCTTTGCTCAGTTGGAACGTGACGTTGCAGCATCGGAAGAGCAGTACGCTCAGGATAAAGAACTGCTGGTTGCGAAGAAGGAAGCTGTTGTTCTTTTAGCCAAGGAAGTCAAGAGCTTGGATACCGACATCGCTAACTTGAAGGAGTCACGTCAATCAAAGATCGGCGTTTTGGAGAAGCGGTTCGCAGAGGCCAAGAAGGAGACGCAAAAGCTTGGAGTACATCTCAAGAATGCGCAGCAGGAACTCTCGGAGCTGGTTCTGGAATCGGAATCTGCTGAGCAGGAGCTTGCGGGCAATAACGAGAGCGTCACTGGCATCCAGAAGGAACTTGCTGCACTCCGCAAAGAAGAGAAGAAGGTCGAGGTCAAGGTCGCTGACATCCAGAGTACCTATGAGCAGGCATCGCAGAAGCTGGAGGAGCGACGGAGCAACTTGAGTCTGTGCGATCAACAGCTTAAGGAGCTCAGTGCTCGTCAGAGCGCTCTTTCCAAAAAGAAGAGCGATCTTGAAATTGAGCGCAAGAAGGCGGAGCACAAGATCTCCCGGATGGCTAAGGACGAAGGTGACGCCAAGATGATGGTGAAGAAGCTGGAGAAGACTCATCCGTGGATTGAGACGGAGAAGGAATTCTTCGGCCGCGAGCACACAGACTATGACTTCCAGCGAAGGGATCCGTCCACTGCTAATCGTCGTCTGCTGGAGCTGAAGGAGACGCAGGGTGCTCTGTCCAAGAAGATTAACAAGAAGGTCATGGGGATGATTGAGAAGGCCGAACAGGAGTACCAGGGACTGATGAACAAGCGACACATTATCGAGAATGACAAGGAGAAGATTACGTCGGTTATCAAGGAACTGGACGCAAAGAAGAACGAAGCTCTGCAGACTACGTGGGTGAAGGTGAACAAGGACTTTGGCTCCATCTTCGGGACGCTACTGCCTGGCACACATGCAAAGCTGGACCCTCCTACAAACGGTAAGCAGTCGTGTGTACTCCTGCCCTAAAGCTAGGATGCTGATGATGACGCTGTTGCTTTTCTTTTTTTTCCTTTAGGAACCATTCTGGATGGACTCCAAGTGCGCGTATCGTTTGGCGGCGTGTGGAAAGAGAGTTTAACAGAACTGAGTGGTGGCCAACGCTCACTACTGGCGTTGTCGCTCATCCTCTCGCTCTTGCTGTTCAAGCCTGCGCCAATGTATATTCTGGACGAAGTGGATGCCGCTCTGGATCTTTCGCACACTCAGAATATCGGCCAGATGATTCGGTCACACTTCTCGCACTCGCAGTTCATCGTCGTGTCGCTCAAGGAGGGTATGTTCAACAATGCTAACGTCGTCTTCCGGACCAAGTTCGTTGATGGCGTCTCCACGGTGACTCGCACGGTCCCGAAGTCGCGCGGTCGGTAGATGAGGCCAAGATACCGACCATAATTGAGTGAACGAAGTAGAGACCTGGGTTCGAAGTCGTCGTTTGCGAATGATCTGCTGCATTGATTACATGAAGACGTTTGCTATACTGTGACCCGTCACTCATTATGTTTCCTGTTTTGTTGAAGGCTCAGGTTGTTCGCCCAGCTCCTCCGTCACCCTCTACGTTATCTGCACCTTGATCCTCATCCAAGTCATCGTCCAAGTTCTCATCAGGTCTGCCATCTTCGTCCTCTAAGACGTTAATCTGGGAGGCTGACAGCAGCGAGCCCTGCTGTCTGGAAGCTGCCAGCGGTGGGTTTACCGCCGAGGTAAGTTCCAGTTGAGCGTTAAGATCATTCAGGTCTTGTTCGTATCTTCTCCGTCGAGCAAGCTCCGTCATTACCAGTAGCGGCATCGGGCCAGCGTCTGGATTGTCCAGATAAATTTCGGTGAGTGCATAACCGAGTGCCTTTCGCCAGAGTTTCCGAACGTGAGCAGCAATGGCCCGTCGATGATCTTCTCGACTCTGTCGTTGGGCCATCTTAATGGCGTTGCGTTTCTCGTTGAGGATGCTGAATACTGCATAGCTCAAGGTCATCATGTTCGTGATGATCGCCGCATTCGTCACTAGTCGAATCACTCGCTCCTCGAGATATAGCAACCCCATCTTTAAGATCAAACCGCCTGAAGTTGACAGGAAGATAGAGCAACAAAGGTCACCCACCACCAAGCCCGAAACGAAGGTCTACAATACGAAGGTGGTACGTACAGAACAGGGTAATGAAGAGCTGGATATGAACCAAACTTGCAAGAGCACTGTCCGAAGGCTCTTTGTACGGCTGGTAGAACAACATGACGGAGAGATACACGAGCCTGTCACGCAACAACGGTTATATCAATGCTACTTGAGATGAGAACGGGCCAGCACTTACAAGACCACAAGCCCACAAATGACACGGTTGGCGCCAGCCTTTGCAAGAAGACTAATGATGCAGTTGAGCAAGAGCTTGCGGCCGAGATCCCAAACTTCGAACCACCAAAAGCGCGCAGAGTCTGTGGCGAAAAACAACAGCTCAAAGTCACCAACGAAGTAGTAGTCCGCAGTGACAGAAGGTTGATGATACCTACATGAATGGTAGATGAATCCTACTTGGGCGACTGTGCTTGGTTCCTACACAAACACGGAATGTCATCAGCTGGAGAAACACAAGGCCTGAGCTGCAGCATCTTACGTTCAAGTTTCTATCGCACAAGAAGTGGGTGAGCATCTCGGTCTCGAAGAGTTGAATCTTTTCCTCGTCCACGACTTGGCCTTGGTCGATGATGTCAAGTCGCATCTTGAACAGTAAACGCTGCTTTAGCGAGTGTTGAGACGGATCTTGGATCAGAAGAAGCGTATCGCGCATGCCGCGCGTCCGCTTCATGTAAATGATCACCCAGAACAACAGTGGGACTCCTACAACGTTCAAGTGAGTGGTAATTCATCACGGAATACGACGAACTGTGGACGTACCAACAACCCAGAAGATGATCAGAGTGGTGCTGACAGGGAGATAGTACAGCCACGTTCCCTCGTAGCACAGATTGCTGCGATCAAGACTCAAATAGTAGTGATCGCCGATTTCGTCGCAGTAGAAAGTGCCAATTACACGCTGGCACAGCATCGGATAGAACAGCAGCAAGACCCTTCAACAAAGTAACAGACTCAGTATCTGGTTGTATGTTCAAGAAGAAGCAACTGAAATCGTACCAGAAGAAGAGCTTGATGCACCTGTTTTGGTAGGCTTTGTAGTAGAGACGCATCCAGACTCGTGCGCGCCAAAGGCGCAGGTTGCTGTGCACTACCATGTCCAGGACGTCATTTTTGATGCGCTGGGATGTCGGACATCGAGGCTTGTGGGTGGATAACGAAGCTGGAAGTTGCGTGATGCGATCGACCCAGTTCAGTGCCCGCACAACGAGCCGTACAATCCGCCACGATTCGCCATTTTCACTTGTCTGGTTCCCAGATCTCCGTTGCAGACGACCAAGCAAGCTTGATGTGGCCGCTTCGGCACTTTTCTCCTTCATCTTTTGCTCCAGCTTCAGCTTCGCCAGTAACGCCGCGCGTCGTGCTTGGACTGGTGGAGAGCGATGCTCTAAAGTGAACACTGGTAGACCACAACTCACGCAATGTCGTGGGAGTGTTGAGAGCTTGACACGATACCGCAAGATTCCCCAAAACGTGACTAAAAACACGAGTAAAAGTAGTCCAAACAGCGCAAATAGAGCAAGGCTACAGCAGCGCAACAACGTCAGAACAAAACGTTGAAGATCTGGCTGTTGTAGGACGAAATCGTACCGGAAGTTGGAGAAGTAATCGCGCCTGAACATACATTCCGCTGCAGTCGCATCCACAAAGTTAAAGTCTGCTAGAGAGCAGATATCCATAAGACGACTCATCGTGTCTGGCCATGGGATCTCGTACACTTCTTCGAAGCTCCCGATAACCTGGAAGAACCCCAGCATAATTTTGAACTTTTCCGGTCGCCACGATGGGATTTCAGCATCACTGGGTTCAATCCGGAAGAGATGAGGGTGACCCTGTCTTCCAAACCGAGCACGCTTAGCTGCAGCTCGCATCATCGAGCGGACCCGTCGTTGGATGCTTGCCTTGGTGGCGAGAAGTAAGGCTCGAGCTCGCGATTGTCCAGTGTAAATCTGGAACTTTTTGGCCGCTTGAGCATGACTAACTACTCGTTGTTCAGCGGCGTTTGAGAACAGGTAGCACAGAAACAAGAGTGCGAACACGGCGACAATTATGGGTAACATCGAAAGCATTTGGGTAGTTCGCGCCACCGCCGGATCTTTGGGGTCCGTGCATCCTGTAAAACAAGAATAATATTAGTCATCCAAGCGGAAAAATAAGAGCCAAGAACGACAATACGTTTTTTACGTACGCCTGCACGCCCCGCTCGAGGCCTTGTAGTAGCCATCGGCACAAGTAGCACACATGATACCCGAGTACCCAACTGCACATTGACTTGATGACTGGACAGCTGCTGTGCTGATAGAGACCGTAGACGACGTAGACGCTGAAGCCGCGACACAAGCGGCATTTGTCTGTAGCATTTAAACGAAAATATTAGCACGATAATAGCAGCTCTCTTACAAGCACAACTTACATCACAAGCGTAGTATTCGTTTCCGGAGAGACAGGAGTATACTCTGGTGCGGCTCCAATACTTGTAAAAAACATCCGGTTCTTCACTTGCGCACTGGTGGATACGAGCAGTAAGGTTGGCTACGCCAATGGACTTGCACGGATCATCATCTAGCCAGGTCTCCGGGTTGTCGCAGCTAGATGCAGCATAAGTGGAGCGAGTCTTGGAAACGAAATATCCTTGCTGTCGTTGAGGAGAAACAACTCCCGTCGTCGTTCCCCTCTGATCTTTCTGCTCGCAAGTGGCTCCTGGAGGGCACAAGTAGCATCGCTCGCCGTCCAGACTTCAAGTACAAAGTAATAGCAGTTAGCACTTGACAAATTTTAAAAGAAATGGCACATAATGCTGGTACCTGTAAGTTCCTTTCTCGCAAGAGAGGCATAATCTGCAATAGAACGGTACAGTAAGTTTCCGAATAACAGCTCTGAGCGTCCGGAAAGCTCACCCGTTGACGTTTTCGTAGCCAGGATTGCACTTGTCGACGGTCACATCGACAACTATTTGCGTTTGAAGAACTGGAGATAGTGTGCAATTGATGGCCAATCTGTAGGGGTAGTCTCTAGATTTTGACAGTACTGCCGCGTCTTCGAAAATCACGTAACCTTCATCAACTGCGACCCACGTCAAAGGAGAAAAAGAAAACGGTCCCTCTTCACCAATCGCCAAAAGAGCTCGGCATCGTGTCACGTTGTCGTATATAGCAATTGCACCGTAGTAGTCTCGAACTACAATCGTGGGCCAGAGAACACTTGATCCCGGTTTTGTTAGGCTGGAGTTCGCAACTGCGTTGAGCGTCGACGTAATTGGCGTTGATGCAAGTCCGGAACTCGAGTTGGAGACAGGTTGAGTGTCGATTCCAAAACTGACACCGCTTGTGACACTGAGAGGCCACCATCCAGGGGTGATTTTCATTGCACTCGTAGAAATTATCACGGATTCGTTGCTGCTTGGTTTAGTACAGTGAACACATTCGAATGCAAACCACGGATAGTAGTTCCAGAAAACATCTGGGCCTGCTGCAGCAGTATTTCCGTCAAACTCTGAGCTATTACAGACCACAATCTGAAGACTCGCTTCCGTACTCTTATCGATATAGATCCCAGCTCCAAAATCACTTGCATTATTATCTTCAAATCCACTTGAAGTGATCGAAGAGTGGCATTCTCTTGAATCGATACTGCACCACCAGTAAACGCTTGGTTGTTTTGCCAGAAGCTTCCTAAGCTGGTTAAACCCGCACTTCCTCTCATTGAAATAGCACCGCCGAAGGCCCGTGCGCTATTGGCGGTGAGATTTGAAGTGGTCAGCGTAATTGCAGCTGAACCCATTGCGTACACGCCACCTCCTTCTCCAGCCACATTTCCTTCAAAGGTACAATCGGTTAATGTAGCAATCGCTCGGATCGAAGCATGCAAAGCGCCGCCCTGGAAGGTAGCGGAATTATTTCGGATGATCGTCTGTCGCATCGTAAGATTCGTCGACCTACTAATCTGAATTGCCGCTCCTTTCGACGCAACGTTAAATTCGAACAATGAATCTCAGATAGCCACAGCTGCATCGACTACTGCGAGTGCGCCTCCTTCAGTATCGTCGTTCCCGTTGCCAGAAAGAATGCACCCCTTTAGCTGAGCCGTATTTTTCCTTCACACGAAGATGGTCGAGCCAAACCCGACGTTTTTATTGCGCGTAAAATTGGAATTAGACACTGTGGCTGTAATTGTCGCGCCAGGATCCAGAAAGATTGCCCCGCCGCGGTCCTGAACTTCATTGAGATCAAAGGATGACTCGCTCACGGTCAGGTCACCTCCGTCTGTCATGTAGATTCCTCCGCCATCGTAAAAGGCAAAATTATCTCGGAAAATGCTGCCGGAGATATCGAGACGCGCATTCACAGCGAAGATGCCAGCGCCAAAGTCGTATCCAAAGCCACGATGCAGCGTCGCGTTTCTGAGGACCACTGCAGCGGTTGACGAGTAAATTAGCCCTCCAGAGTACGCTTGGCCGAATGCCAACAGAGAGTTGACAATTAGGAGGGTCGTATCTGCATTCTCAACGTAAATTAAACCTCCATTCAGCGCCAACGTGGCTTTCTCGTTACTAACAAGACTCGAATCGGAAATTGTGACGGCGCCTTTGGCGATATAAAGAGTGCCGCCTTGGATACCCAGCTCGTATTTCACCACAGTATTGTTAATAAACTCCCAGGCAGTAAGCGCGACCGAGCTCTCACTGACCACTGCTACTGCTCCACCAGCCTTTGCGATATTCTCCTTGAGCAGACAATTTGATCCTTTCATATTCGTCAGCGACAGCGCTATTCCACCTCCTGTTCCGGCCGAGTTGCCAGTCAACGAACAGTTAGTCATGGCAAGGGAGTTACTATCTCCTTTAGCTACGCCAGATCCCATCACAATGCCCCCACCGGTTTGAGAAGCGTTGTTCTTGACAAAGGAGCAGTTAGTTAACTCCACATTACTTACGTAATTAGCATAGATGCCTCCTCCATCTGACGCATTTCCATTCTGAAACAAAGCGTCAGCAAGTACAAACACTGCGCTGTCGACGTATACCCCGGCTCCCCGATAAGCATTTCCGTCCAGGAGTGCAAAGCCACTGGCTTTTAATTGACTTGACGGTGCAACATAGATACCACCGCCGTACCCTGTAGCTGGATCCGCATTGTTACCTCGAATTGTTGATTGTTTGGAGCTGCCACTTACTCGTTCAATCGCCGAAACCTTTGTGGCGTGAACACCTCCACCGTTGGGAGCTGTGTTAGACAGCACAGAAAGATTTTCATGCCAAATTGTAGCGTTCACAACACTGATACCACCTCCAGTTTTATCAGCGAAGTTCTCTGATACGACGGAGTTTAGCAAGTTGGAGATTGAACCGGCTTGAACGATCATACCCCCGCCAGATACTGCCGAGTTGTTTACTATCGAACATCCCTGAATGGTAGCTGACTCACTATGAATGGCTACTCCACCACCAACTTTAGCTTTCGCCGCAGCAATCACCAATTGCTCGACGGAGCATGTTCCACTTAGGAATAAGTTTCCACCCGCTTCTGAGGCCTGGTTAGCCAACATCTGCGACGACGAAGATGGCGTTTTCGCCAATATTTTGCCCCCATTTAGATACACACCACCCCCAAGATTTGAACGGCATCGCTCAACCGAGGCACCGTCGTGAATTAGAGTTGATTTCTCCATGTAAATACCACCCCCCAGCGAGACGCTACTGTCAGCTACTATGCTCGTGTCTTTCAATTCAATAGTTGAAGTTGTAGCATAAAGACCACCTCCGTCAACAGAAGCGTACGAGTTGGCCAGCTTGCAGTTTTCCACTACAAGATCAGCGTCCAGCACGTATGCAGCACCTCCTTTCTTCGAATCGCAATCATCCACAACCACCCCAGCAATCGTTGTTTCTCCTACCAAATACATTCCTCCTCCACAATCCACTCCGGTGCAAATCTCAATCGTCAAGTCTCCTGAAACGGAGCTTGCCATAGCAAATAAACCTCCACCATTCAGAGCTGAACCGAGCTCCACAGAAACGTTCTTCATTGTAACATGACTCCCTTTCAACCAAATGCCACCTCCAGCCACGTCAGCCGAGCACTTGGTCATCAGAATGTTCTCTAGACTGAGATTCGCCTCGTCCACATGAACACACCCTCCATTTGGAGCGACGTTGAGCTCTTGTTCGATATTCATCACCGTAGCGTCCCCCGCAACAAACATCGCGCCACCGTTCTTAGTGGCTTTGTTACTGAGAGAGCGAGTTCCCTCTAAACCTGTCATAGTGCTTGTGGTCACCCAGATCCCACCTCCATCCTCGGCACTATTTTGCGTGATAAGCACTGGCCCTTTGCAACTTATCTGAGCGTTTTTCAGCGCAAGACCGCCGCCTTCCAGAGCCTCGTTGTCTTGGATACGTACGTTCAGCCATTCGAGTGTGCTATCTACTATAGCAACACCACCGGCAGACTCGCTCGCATACCCCTTTTCCACAACAATATCTTGAAGACTCGCCTGTGAGTCGTAGATGTACATTCCTGCTCCATTCACTATGTAGCATAACTGGTTAGCACTCAGCATAATTAATAAATGCAGTAATTCTTGCTACTTACCGGCTGTGTTTCCTGTGATTGTCGAGGGAGTTAATGCTTGTTTTACAAAGGTGACATTAATAGTGCCAGAGATGTACACACCGCCGCCACTAGCTCGAGCTTCGTTCTCCTGTATGGAAGTTGCTATTGTGACAAGGTCTGACTTCCCACTAAGGGCCAATCCCCCACCAGTGTCGGCCTTGTTTCTACTGATAACACAGCTCTCCATTGTTAGCACTCCATTAGCCATAGCGAGGCCTCCTCCACGCGATGCTTCATTGTTGGAGAGGTACACACCGTTCAGCGAAGCGGTACCAGCAATAAAAACTCCACCTCCGCTCTCCAATCCAACATTCTCGAAAAGCTGGGTGTCCGTAGTAGACAGCGAGCTCGTTCCTCTCAAAGCCACTGCCCCACCATGAAGAGCAGTGCTTTTGGTAACGTTGGACTCGCTCATTGTGGCCTTTGCATCCTCGAGATATAAAGCCCCACCTTCCATGTCAGCCAACGTTTTTGCCATTGCCACTTGATCAAGCGTGATGGTGCTACCGCTGGCGTAAAGCACCCCACCGTTCCGAGTGGCGCTAGTATCAGTGACATACAGATTAGTGGCAGTGAACGCTCCACCTGCAATCTTGAAAACTCCGCCGTCTGCCTCCACGCAATTCTTTAACGTCAATCCTTCCACCTCCAGTTTAGAAGACGTCGAGAGAAGAAAGCGCGACGATCTACTACAGTCAGCAATCGTCCAAAACGGTCCTTTCAACGTAGTTATCGTCAAATCTGCATAATCCACTTTCAGATCGCGATTCAGAGAGCCTGAATAGGTTCCAGGGTAAACCAGAATAGCACCTCCGGTCTTACTTAACTGCAACGCTCGAGAGATCGTCTTCACAGCTTTTGAAGCGGTCCCTCCTTCATTCGCATCCATCATTTCACCCGTTCCCTGGGCGTCATCACCGAACTCTCCCGATACAACAATTACTTTTGCGGGATCCATCTCACACACGGAGTGATGACAGTGCTTTGGATCTGAACAACAAACAATTCGGTTGTTGCAGCCTTCGCCCGTAAATCCGACGCTGCACTTGCAGCTGCCGTCACTTTGTCTGCGTCCATGCCCCGAACAAGCGAAGCCATTTCCTGGCAGGGGAATTCGTGTCTTCTCCGTCGTTCCATCGATCTCGTACTGCATTTCAAAGCCCTTCGCCGTGACGCTAGCATCACTAGTGAGAGCAATAATCACTGTAGATTTGGCTTGGTAGACGAAGCGGCCCGTGCGCGTACAACCACCTTTCCACAGACGTTCCTTTGTCTGTGCGTCAAGGATTTCCACATAGTCGTGGTCACATTCCAGCTCGAACGTAGAAAACTACACCATGAGGTCAGTTTACACATAAAATATCGTCAAAAACTGCTTCGAAGTACTTACCGTTAGCGTAATGTAAGAGTACGAGCTTATCGGACTGATTTTCCATTCCTTGTTGACGTTGTTCGAATAGTTGAGCTCGCGAATACGTCCAGATCTTCCTTGGCAAATAGAGTCAAGTATGATTTCCGAAGGATCCAACGTCGTCACAGTCACTGGCTCACTGAGAGCTGATTGAGTAGTCCGGATTCGGTACGAAGTCGCTGCGGACAGCGTAGTTTTGTCCACGAACGTCGAACTCGCGGTTGTACCGACATCTACGCCACCTCGCTCGACGTAATATGTCGCAGTAGATCCAGGGTTTGGATACCACGATAACTCCACGGAGTCACGCGACACTAGATCATAGCAACACACGGAGAAAATCAATACTTAAGTATGACTTGAGCGAGTAGAACTCTTGACTTGCTAAACTCACCGCATCCAATTTGTGGCGTCGACGGTACGTTTGTGCCTGACGAAGTTCGTGCATATCTAATCAAACTTGGAGGACTCAAGTCTCCGAATGTGTTTTGTGCCGTCTACCGTTCATAAGCACAACAACCGCAGCTTGATCGTCAGTGTATTTCTGCAACTATTCCCGGTAGTATCAGGGTACGTACCATTGAAATCGAATAGGTTGTCGATGCACTCAATCCAGTCAAAGATGTAGAGGTATCTTTCGTCGTGAAAGAAGCGGAGATCGGTGGGTCTCCCGTCGTCGCAGTGATGGTGTACACGTCGATTGTATCGCCCCCAACGTCACTCGGCATCTCCCACGCGCAATCAATGGATGTAGAGCCCACAGCAACAATTCTAAAGTTCTGTGGTGCACTGGGGGAGGTGACACTACGAGTGATAAACGTGAGAATGTCGCTGTGAGGGGATTCCCCGACGTCATTCCAGGCTGTAACGTAGGTCCAGTATGTCGTTCCAGCGAGTAGCTTATAGATCGTCGTTGTCGCTTGGAGATCCTCATAAACATTCTGGAAAGGGCCGTCCTTGGACACGTTGCTCAAGCGCAATGAATACT